ATGAATTTTTAAATGGAACACCCTGTATATTGTAACATTTTTGGATTTCTGAGACAAATCTAGATCAGAATGTGACATTTCCAAAAGTTTTTATGCCTACTTGATTTTTTCGGAGTCACTTTTGAAAATTACATCTAGTTGGCCATGATCGGAAGTGAACTAATCTAAGGACCTCAGGTGATATCAGAAAATTACAATCGCGAAATTTTAGTGACAAGTATGATAGATGTGAATAAGACAAGTTGACAAAATTACATTTTCATGTCTAACTATTATTTTTCAAATTGCGACCATTTTTTGACAAGCACTTTCCGAAAAAACGATATTTTGACGAATCTAACGATACTAATTTATTTGCGATTGGATTTCAAATAAGAACATTGAATATCACTGACGAAAATACTTCCTAATAATTTATTTACTTTTGGCAAGTGTGCCGAGGATAGGCATGATGCATTATATTTTGCAGTTATTTCGATCAAGTCTTCTTGGGAGAACAAAACACTCACTTAAGTTATGACAGAGACATAAGCTTCAAGAGCAGAAGGTAAAATTTTCTTGATTTTCGTTAAATTTTAGTTCAATTTTCCGTCGAAAAAATGTATACTCAAAGTGAAAAAGTGGATATGTTGTTATTGTTTAGAGAATGTCACAGAAATTCAAGGAATGCTGCTGAGTTGTATGCTCAGAGATATCCCAATCGGCAACATCAATTCCATCAGTATTTTCGGTATGTTGAGAGAAACAATTGAACATGCTGAAATGTGTCTTGAACAAGGAGGAATGCACTTTAAAAATTTACTACAGTGAAAATTTCAAGAAAATATAAAATTGAAAAAAATGTAAGTGTATCGCTGAAGTTATTGTTAATTTTGTTAAATTTGTTGATCCAATCGCAAATAAATTGGTATCGTTAGATTCGTCAAAATATCCTTTTTTCGGGAAGTGCTCACGAAAGTAAATGAATTATTATCCATGGCACACTTGAGAAAAGTAAATAAATCATTATGAAGTATTTTCGTCAGTAATATTTAATTTATGTTCTTATATGTAATCCAATCGCAAATAAATTAGTATCGTTAGATTCGTCAAAATATCGTTCTTTCGGAAAGTGCTTGTCAAAAAATGGTCGCTATTTGAAAAATAATAGTTCGACACGAAATTGTAATTTTGCCAACTTGTCTTATTCATATCTATCATACTTGTCAATAAAACTTCGCGATTTTAATTTTCTGATATCACCTGAGGTCCTTAGATTAGTTTACTTCCGATCATGGCCACCTAGATGTAATTTCAAAAGTGACTCCGAAAAAATTAAGTATATAGGCATAAAAACTTTCGGAAATGTCACATTCTGATCTAGAATTGTCTCAGAAATCCAAAAATGTTACAATATACAGGGTGTTCCATTTAAAAATTTAGAACCGGAGCCATTTCCGGTGAAACCGGAAGTGACCGGGAAGTGAAAAATATGTGAAAACTCTCCTCTTCACATACCATTTACCTATTCCAAATCTCATTTTGAGACACCTAATGGTCTAGAAGTTATGACTTGTCTAATAGATTCGTTGACACCCGGTATAATAAAAAATAATAAAAGACCCAGCCAACCCTATAAGATACCAGCTGAGAATAAGAAGAATAATAGTGGACATAGTGGAATGGTTCAGTTGGCAAAACTTTTCACAGGTAACTCACAATTTGCAACATCCTAACTTCTAGGGTAGATTGAAATTTAGACATGAAATTAAAAATCCAGGTCCCTATTTGAGAATATAAAGTTGATGATGGCCGCTCAAAGAAGAAAAGTCGTATTTCCAATTTGACAATTTCATTTTGTAGAGGATGAAAAGTGACAATGATGAAGTGATATTCATTTTGAAACATCTCCTCAAATAAACTGAGTAATAAATAAAAACAATTTTGCATATTTTCCATTTTTCGGGATATTTCCGGGAATAATTGATTTTTTTTTAATTTCAAAGCAGCATTTTGTTGAGCATGAAATGGTGTAATTTTGCCCTAATTCAAACTACTCTGTATCTGTGCTTAGTCACGAATTTGTAACACCCTGTATATACAGGGTGATATTTTATATTTTCATTCATCACCACTCTGTTGAGCCTAAAAAACTGATTTTGTCTGATTAATTGGTGATCACTTGATCAGTTTGAGAATGTATTCAATAATGATGCAATTAACATCTGTCAAATATATCCTCATTCATGGCTACCATGATATCTGTAGAAGGCAACACATGAATATTGTCTTTCTAGGGTGAAAAAAATGGTGATGATGAAGTAAAAATATTGTATATACAAGGTGAATCTGAAAGTGACGTTTTTTTTAACATGATATATATCTCACCAAAATAAGTTGTTTGGCAAAAAATTGCTCACATAAAATATTAGAGATAATGGAGGTATTGAAAAGGAATATTCTCAGACTCAGATAAATTATAGACATACAAAAATGGATATATATTAATATGAAACAATACATTGAGAATTCGCATTCTCTATGTGATGAGAATATCTACTCTTTTTCAGTTTATTCAATAGAAAACAACTACTTTCCTGGCTATATGCCACAAGGAACATTGAATTATATCTATTGAACACACATGATAAGAGTTTGAAAATAAAATATAGAAAACTTCTGAAATTGAGAATTTGCATTCTCCTTCAGACAAAAATATGTATATGCACACATAATTCTGAATATTCAACAGAAAACATTTACTTTCCTGGCTATTTGCCACATCGAACATTGAATTATATCTGATGAACATTCAAAAGGAGAACATGAAAAATAAAAAATAAAATCCTCGGACATTGAGAATTGACATTCTTCTTCAAACCAGATGAATAATATGATGTATAATATTAATATATAATATATATCCATTTTTGTATATCCATAATTTATCTGAGAATATTCCTTTTCAACACTTTCATACCAAATCAGGGGGTTCAAACTTGAACGATGGAAACTTGTGATTTTTATAAACCTCTTATAGCAGATTTGTGATAGAGTCTCAATTCAGAATTTCTTTCCATGCCCTGTATGATGAATGTCAATTTATCATACACCCAGAAGCAATAATGGAGGTACTTAAAAGTATTTGATGGTTTGAAGAAGACTTCAACTGAAACATTTTGTTTACATTTTCTCAATTAAAATGCTTTTTACATGTTCAACCAATTAATTATCATTTTGAAGTGAACCAAAATACTTGAGAATGGAAATGAAGCATTAGGCCAAACAATTTATTCTAGTGAGATATATACCCTGTTAAATAAAAAAAACTCACTCTCAGATACACCATATATATATCTCTGTGATCACAAAAAACCAAAGATTCTGTTAAAAATATGAAAAAACAGGGTGTTCCATTTAAAAACAAATGATATGAGGTTTGTCACACTTTCAGAGATCAACCTGTAAAACTTTTGATAGGATCTGTGGAAAGGCCCCATTGCAGCATTCAACTTTTGCATATTGTTTTCTTTATATAAAGAAATACAGGATATATAGGGGTGGGCCTTTTTGATGTATAACCCTGTACAAACCTTCAACATGCACAAAGGCTGTTTCTCACTGCAAGTATCTCACAAACAGTCAGATATAGGCCATTGTTACCTATATTATGATATCTCAGAAAGAAATCATCATAAGTTATTATCCAATTTTATCCCAATTCCTAATCCAAATTTTATTATCTCAACTATTTCACTGTGATACATCTTAACTTGTTTATTGTGTTATTCTACCTTAATTTTTATATTTAGAATTTAACTTTATACATTTCTTATATGTTTACCTGTAGATATAGTGATTGATTATTGACATGCCCATGAAGGGCAGAAGTGTGTGATATCAAATTATTTTTGTACCTATTATTAGAGGTATCCCTATGTAACACTCTGTGTATTTTGGGATGAAATAAATGCTAAAAAAAAAAAATGCTATAAATAAGTAACTATTTTGAACTCAATTTTGAATAAAAATGCAAGTAAAAATAAGTCTGTTGCTGAAAAAAATATCCTATATCATGAAGAATATCTAGAATTTCAGTCCATTGAGTTTTGTTTGAAGAAACTCATAGATTTTCAAAACAAGACAATACATATGTCACCTGTTCATTAGAGTACTTATAGACAGGGTTGGGCTGATTTAAATCAATTGATTTAAATCAAGATAAAAATCATGATTTAAATCAAGTGATTTTTTTTTTAAATCACAATTTAAATCAAAATAATAATTTCGAGAACATTTATTATTTATTTGAATAATAAGAAATATTAAACTGAAATAGTAATAGAATAGTAAAACCCCTAAAAAAAACTGGATATTGAAACATAATATACAGGCTACAGGAATTTTCTTGTACAGACATGTCGGTCGACCCACATTGTCCTACTGAGAATGGCTTTCTTTGTGAATTATATTTTGTTTTAATTTTATAATACTCAAATTCATGAAATACACAAAATTAAAATAGTTTTGAGTTAAAAAATGGACATGAATGTTGACAGGTACCTATATTTATCGCGCATTAAGACAAAAATCTAAAATAATCAAAAAAATCAAAAAGATCATGATTTTTTTATTTAAATCAATGATTTTTGATTTTTTTTCAAAAAATCAAGATTTGCCCAACCCTGCTTATAGAATGCTTTGGTAGAATGAATATTCACTGATCATAAAATTTCTAGCAAATATAAGGCAAATTTAGGCATCAGCTTGCACTAAAGATTCAAAAAACAGGCAAGAAAACAGGTGAAGAAAAGTAAGCTATTGAAGCTAAAATACCAATGCCTCTGACTTACCTGTGAAGTTGAACTATTCTAGAGAGTAGCCCACTGCTATCATCTCCATACATTATACCTAAGTTTCAAATTGGATTTCAAACACAGAAATTATATTTTGATTGAAAAGCTGCAGGGCTGGGCATTGCATAAATTTGTTATGTGTTTGGAACCAAGTTTGGAACATACCTTCAGGGTTTCTACTATGATTCTAGTTAGAAATGGATGAGGAGCGTCTCCGCCCAAAAAAGCTTCCTCTTCTACATCCACTGGTGTCACAGCAGATATGAATTGTGCAAGAAAGTCCAGAGTCCTTTGAACATTTTCGTTTTTGATCAGATTTGTGCACAATATTTTCTTCAAAGAGGTGCATATCTCTTCCACAAATTCATCCAGAGGAATCTAGAAGAATATTAAAAGCCAGTTTGAGGCATTGAAAGGCCAATGTTTGTCAGAGGGAACTTTACCTTCTCATAGTATTTTTGCAGCACTTTCAAGTTTTTTTGGTGAGATGCTCTACTGAATTGTACGATGGTCAATATGTCATTCAATTTTGTTTTCATTTTTGAATAAAAACTGCACTATTAATATGTTGTGTATAATTAAAATTAAAAATAGACCTTTAAAAATTTGAAACCGTTGCATGTAAACAAAATAAAGACGAATCACAAATCAAATCATGAAACACAAAACACTGCACAGAACAGAAAACATGAACAAGTGACATTAAAATTTCTGACAGTTGAAAATATAGGAGTGTTGACAATTGAAATGTGGCAGGAGGCTGGGAGGCTGTTCCAGTCAGTACTTTAGTACTAGATTTAGAGCTATTCGAAGACGTTCAGCACCAAAGTAATTTTTGATGGAATCTAGTACTAAATGTTTCGAGATCCTTGAGTTCACATTGTTCACCAAGTAGATGAAAATTAATGAGGACTAATATGTTCACTCTCACCAGTTGGTGCTACTAAAACGTGAGCGTGAGGTCATTGTCAAAGTCAAATCCAAATTTTTGCCTATTTCATCGAACATTTTCGAAAAAAATAATGTAAAATATTTGAACATATAGAAAACCACAAGTTATCAGAAGACTTGAGCCGGCTCACGTTTTTTACTCTCAATGTGAAACTTTACCAATTGACACGAAAATAAGAACTTCATTTATCGGTTCTACCAACCCTGACTCCACGATTCAGTGGCGCGTTTTGGTAAACAATAAATAATTTTAGTGCTCATTATTCCAGTTCAGTACATTTTTTCCAATTTGAGAATATTTGAATTATTTTGATCCATTGAAATAATTCAATTTTTTATTTCGATATTTCTATGTCGTGAAATTATTCCACTCATCTTTGTTTTTTGGCGACTGAAGAAAATTGAAATCCAGTACTAAATTCTCAGTTCTAGTACTTTTTCGAAATGTGATCTAGTACTATATATGTTGTCATTCCTAATTGATCATTCTAGAACACGTGATTTTGACATGGTTTCTTGAGGGGCACCAAACTATCTGTTAGGTTACCTTTGATGAGCATTGCCCAGGCCGCCCCTCTGCCACATCCCCAATATAATAACAGTTTCACTAAACAAAATTATAAAATTCTTTCTGGTTCCAACTCGGATTCCAAGGAAAACGATCCCACTAATTCTGGTTTTCTATGATGACAGATCTTGACAAAATACAATGTTTGCCCCTCAGCAACCTGTCAAATGACGTAATTCTGGAATGATTAATTAAAATTCCTTCTGCCTTCTGCCGCTTCTGCAATACAAGCTATTGCTACTAATAGATTGAAAATGTCTACAACACACACGATCGTCAGCATGTCAGATCAAACCTCCTGATTGATTGCATGAATCCAATCTTCTTGCATTATTCTAGAAATTTCAGGTAGTTACATCGAGCGGTCCCACGGTACCGAGCTAGGTACAACACTTCCCAGGCCGTTTCCCGGAAAGCAGCGAGATCAGCAGATTCATATTTCGTCTCTCAAGATCAACCGACATTATAAATACATGTGTAATTCATTTTTCCGACGATTTTGACCGTATACCTTGTCCAGATAACATAATAAACGTTTTTTAAAAAGTCTTTTGCCGGTTTTTCGAAAATAACTGGCGCAGTCGGTAGGATACGCCCGGGACGTCTCATCGTGTATTCGTTTTGAGTTTTACTCTTCACGGGCGAAAATCGTACAATTCGGTGTGAAAATCGAACAGAAAAATCGGTGCAGACTTCAGAAATCAACACCCAGGGTCCAGGAAGAAGACAGACGGTACCATGCAAAGGTGAGCCATCCTTTTCATTCCTTTTCCCATTTTTATTATTTTCTGTGGCAAATAAGTCGAAATCCCTAGTAGAACAGTGCATATGTTTTTCTAGTTGTTGGTGAACACAACAAAATTTAGTATAGGAGTGAATTGATGAATACAATTGCGTTCTAGAAAAAATTAGAGCATATAATATTTTCAGAACATAGTTAGGCAGAAGTATAATCAGATCAGAATAATTTCGTATCAATTCTCAAAGTAGTAAGTACATAAGATTTAAAAATTGAGGAAATAATAGAAAGATTGAATAATTTAGGAATAGATAGAAACGAAATGGCAGTCAATTATCAATTACTTAGATTATACATCGATACAATACCAAATTTCAATGGTAGTGATGAAAGTACCTTGGAAATATTTCTAGAACATTGTGACTATCTTGTAAGAACTTATAAAAATAATGACAATCTTAACGATCCTATCAATGATTTTCTTATCAGGGCTGTAATAGGAAAATTATCAGGAAATGCGTTGAGTTTAGTTGGTAGTAGGCCAGAAATAAGAGATTGGAATGCTTTGAAAAATCTACTCAGGCTTAGTTTTGGTGATCAAAGAAATTTAGATTGTCTTGTTCAAGAAATGATTATTATGAGACCTCATAGAAACGAATCATTCTTTACTTTCGGTCAGAGAATTCAAAAAAGTCGAAGTGCTATTGCATCGAAATTGATTTCAATGAATTTACCTGCAGACGAAAGAGCTTTCAGAATGAGAAACTATGACGAGCTTGCTCTTAAAACATTCATTCGTGGTTTAACTGGCAGAATTCAAGATATGGTTAGACTGAGAAACCCTGACAGCTTAGAGTTAGCAATCTCACACGTTTTAGAAGAGGAAAATTTTATTCTAAATCAGAGACAAATTCCATCATTTCCTCAGAAACAACCTATTCAACCTAATCATAATGTGAATTTTTCTAGACCCCAAAATTCGTACCAAAATCGAACTTTTAATCCAAACCCAAATTTTTCGAGACCAAATTTCCAAAACTCTAACTTTCAAAGGCCAAATTTTTCTAATCAACATTTCAATCAAAATCCGAATAATCCACCAAGAAATCAATTTCCATCTCAACCAATAAATATTCAACCAAGACAAAATTTAGGTCAACAAAATTATTTCACAAATCGACAAGTATTTGGTCCACCCCGTAATGCATTTAAACCTACGGGACAGACACCTAATACCAGACCAGAACCAATGTCGGTTTCTACTAGAAACCCGACAGTTCAATATCAAAGACAAAATTTTAATAGACAAAATTATTTCCAAAGCACGGGTCCTAGAAATTTTGTGTCGGAAGAACTCCATAACATAGAAGAATCACAATATGATTACCCTAACGATTATTCTGAACCTTATGACTCAGGAAATCAGGAATATGAACAATCTGACCAATATTTTGAACAGCCAAATGTATATCAAGAGTCCGATCAGCAAGATACACCTCCACAAGAAATGTCATATCATGAAGATTTAAATTTTTCACAGGATGTTCCCAAAAATCATCCAACATAGTTATTAAACTCAACCATTTGAAAAATGACTTACCATTTATTTTTATACCAGAAATTCAAGCAAAATTCTTAATCGATACCGGTAGTTCTCGAAGTTTGATCAGTCCAAAATTAGCCTACCAATTTTTTCCAAATTACATAACGAATGAAACTTTTAGTATTCAAACGTCACATGACGTAAGTTTCCATAACGAAGTATTGATCATTCCAATTTTTGGAATTTTTCACACACAAGAGATACACAAGTTCCATGTTTTCGACTTCAACGAAAAGTATGAAGGATTAATAGGTATGGATCTTCTTAAACAATTGAATGCAAACATCGATATTCAGAATAAAATTCTAACCACACCAAATGTTCAAATCCCTATGATTTTCGATGAAAACACTTCTGAGCCTTCTAAACATTTTAATAAATGCTATCATACCTTAATAGTTCCGCCAATGACCCAACAAGTTTTCAAAATCCCAGTTTGTTACGAAAATGGATTAGGTTTACTAGATTTCATCGATTTCGGAAACAAAGTACAATCACCAACAGCCGTAGTCAATATTCGTAATTTTTTCGCAATCACAACAATAATAAACCCAAATTCAACAACATTCAAGATTAACATCACCCAACCATTTGATATAGAACTTTTAGACCCTAACGAAATAAATTTCATTGAAAAAATCGACTATAGTAATAACTTGAGTAATGAACAAGATTCCCTCTTGAAATCTAACTTGAAAAATCTCAGGTTGAATCATTGCAATAGTGAAGAGAAAAAAATGATTAGTGAGCTTTGTTATAAGTATCGAGACATATTCCATTGCGAAGAAATTCCTCTTAGCTTTTCTAACGAAATTACTCATGAAATCAAACTTAAAGACGAAACCCCTGTGTTTACTAAATCGTACAGATTCCCAGAAGTTCACAAAAGAGAAGTTGAATCTCAAATGGCCAAAATGTTAGAACAAGGTATCATTCAACCGTCAACCTCACCTTGGAGCAGTCCCATATGGATAGTTCCTAAAAAATTAGATCACTCAGGCAAACAGAAATGGCGCATTGTTATAGACTATCGGAAATTAAATGACAAGACAGTTGACGATAAATACCCTCTACCTAACATTAATGACATACTCGACAGACTTGGCAGGGCAAATTACTTTACAACACTGGACTTAGCTTCTGGCTACCACCAGATTGAAATGAACAAACATGACATACCAAAGACAGCTTTTTCCACCCCCAATGGACACTACGAATTCAAACGTATGCCATTCGGATTGAAAAATGCCCCCTCAACATTCCAACGAGTTATAGACAATGTTTTACGTGGACTTAATAATGACATTTGCTTAGTATACCTCGACGACATAATAATTTTCAGTACATCACTACAAGAGCACGTATCCAGACTGAACAAAGTATTTGACAGACTTAGAAACTCGAATTTTAAAATTCAGATGGACAAATCAGAATTCTTACAAAAATCAGTTTCATTTTTAGGCCATATAATAACCCCTGAAGGCGTCAAGCCCAATCCAGACAAAATTTCGGCAGTCCAGAGATTCCCAATTCCTAGAACACAAAAAGAAATCAAATCATTCTTAGGTTTATTAGGTTACTACCGTCGTTTCATTCAAGACTTTGCGAAAATTACTAAACCCATGACTCTGTGCCTTAAGAAGAATGCAAAAGTTATTCATAGCCAAAATTTCATTGA